AGTAAAAAAAAATATAAAATTATCGTAAGAAGGAATTCTATATGTTTAATTACCATAATAAATACCAAGTGGCTTGTAGTCCATTGGTATTGGATTGTTCCCCTATGTGGTAAGTGATGGGTTTGAACCTCGGTTGAGGCAAGTAGTATATATATGGTATCCCCTTTCTTTATAATAGTAATAAAAAAATTTATCATAATAAATTTAGATGTTAAATCCGGTTGGTAATTACCACGGATTATTTAGATGATAAATAGTATAATTATACTATATCTATATAGATTATCATAATAAACGGATTAACATATGCATCAACACATCTATGATTAGAGAGAAACATTCCATATTTTTACTTAAATATATTTTGCATGTTATTAAGATCATTATGTTAGATTGATAGTGCTTCAAAGTAATTTTTAAGCTATAACATCACAAAGTCCCCTGGTTAATGATTTAGTTGTTCATGGAAATTTATCAACAATTCCACCTGATGAATTTAGTTTTATATGGGATGGAGTATGAAGGAAGGTGTAAACGGGAATTGGGAAACTCCCGAGTGTCGCACTCAAGAATGTCAAGTCAGAGCACGTGAAATGCAAGACAACCCTTTGTCACAATGCATCAATAAAGATGGTCTAGTATAGGTGCTAATTGGGGATGTTGGTAGTGTGTGGGAAAGTGAGAAACATAAGAAAGTGAAGGAAAACAAAGGAAACAAATACAAACAAGTAAAAATGGGGATTTGGATGGAGTTGGGCTTGTGGTTTGCGCACTCATAGGTCTTAAGTAGACAAGAGTGGGTAAACGGCTTGGCTAAACCTAGGGAGACCTAAGGCACCATCATTAGGTGGCGTCACACTTAAACTCTCGTTCCCTACGTCGGGCGAGGCATTCTATCAAACATTTGGTGGGCGGTCTACCGTCTCCTCCCCTAAGCTCGCCCTCTCGGGTCGTAGGAAGGGGATTGCAAGGGCAAGACTAAAGAGAGTGCAATATCTTGCTAAACTCCCACTCTCACACTCATCTAACCATTACGTCCGTTAATGGAAAGAGATCAATATGCACTCCTCTACAACAAAGGCATACAAAGCCAAAACATACAACCAATCTCATCATTCATACATTCAAAGCATAAGAACACGCACAATCCAATCCACATCCAAATCTTAGAAATCATCATTAATAAGATCACAAAGCATAAATTAGATAGGAAATATGAACAAGGAAGAGTGGTTATCCAAGTCTTCAATCTAGATGCTTGTAATCCAATAGAAATGTTGAACGATGATTGCTAGGGTTGGGAAAGTAGAAATCTAATCTAGGAATTGAAAATAAATGTAAAACCCTAATCTAACCTAATCTAAGAGTGCTGAATTGAAAGATGAGAAAATTGGAAAAAGAAATTCCCCTAAGTGATCCCCTTACAAGACTTTAAATAGGCTTAAAATCTGTATTTTCCGCGCTGGCATCCCAACGTTCATCGCAACGTGCGTTGCGATGCTCGTTGCCCTTTCGGCCTCCGCGACAATGTACGGGCAACGCACGTTGCGGGTTGCGGTTGCTGCGAATCTGCCCTTTTTTACTTCACCAAAGTTGTAGCCGTACCAAAACTCTTAACTAGATTGTTAGAGTCTAGTGCACAGCAAAAATAAATAAAGTAAGTGTGTGTAGAGATTGTGTCAAGTATATCTCGTGAGAAACAAGCAAGAAGCAGTAAGTAAAGAAAGCAGTAAAGAACAAAGGCAATTATAGTGGTTCGGAGGTGGTGTAATCTTCCTACTCCACTTGCTCTTATCTCCAAGAGCAATTCACTATATCCAGCACTACTTGGTTCCTAGATACAATGAATTTCGTGATCTAGTGCTTTGATCACCAAGCCCGCACTAATCACGCCCAGTGCCACCAATACTAATGTTTCGGATTTCACGACTCTGCGTTACTTTCCTCCCCTTTCTACACTCTGGTAGAACTACACTTCGGATTTCACGACTCCGCGTTACTTTCCCTTCTTCAAGACTTCACACTGCTTGTGACAGTCTCTTTCCTACACTCCAGTAGGGGTGTCACTTATTTTCAAAAAAACGAGTTTTTCTCTTGCTTCCAACTTCTGAGACTCTGTAGATGATCTTCAATGTGTTGCAAGTCTCTTGAGATGAAGATATAACACTCTTGAAAGATTTCTCTTGAAAGCTCTGTATCTCTGAGTGTTTTTCTCTCTTTGAATTTATCAAATATAGCACTTGATATCTATACTCTGTTTAACTCTGTATATTTGAACTCTGTAGATTTTTCTTTCTAAGCTCTCTGAGTTCTTTTTCTCACTTGAAGATTTTCGTATGCTCTATATTTTCACTTGTTGGAACTCTTTAGTTCTTGCTCTTTCGTGCTCTTCTATGCTCTGCTTTAAGTCTTCAAAATCTTTATCCTTATATAGCTGGTATTGAGAATCTGCCCGTTGGAAAAAGACGATCTCAATTTTGAATTCTTGGATCTTTTGTCAGAGATCTTATCTTATCTTTTGGCAATTTGTCAGAAAGATATTCTAGCCGTTTGTAGAGCTTCAAGTTCACGTAAATGGGTTCCCAAACTTCATCTGGTGTTCTCACGTTTCTTGGGAGTATTTTGGTCTTAGTTTCGTGTAGAACGGTTTCTCTGATCTTTCTCTATAGTGGTTCTCGTTTCTTTGGGATTTATATGCTTTAAAAATATTCTTCAATTTAATCCCATACTAGTTAGACTAGTATTTTCTTTCGGAGATTTCTTACTGTAAGTTTTCTTCATCTTCACGTCTGGGTGTTCTCAGACTTCAAACTGGCTTCAAACTTCTTCCCAATTTGAATTTCTCCTTGCAAATTGTCACCCAATTGCAATTGCTTCCCAATTTCAATTTGATTGACTTTGACTTGTAATTGACACCCAAACTTCCCCTGGTTTCAGATGGCTTCTCAATTGCTTCCCAATTTGAATTTGGTGCCCAAGATGGGGCTGTTTGAGAAGAAAAGGCGTGGGGTTTTCTACTCCATGTGCTTCATGGTGCTCCTGTTTGCTGTGAGTGTTTATGGAGTTTTGTGCAGTGAAAGTGCATGTGTGGGTGCATTTGGTTAGTGGTGGCTGATGGGGTTTCTGTGGATTCAGAGTGGGTGATTAGGGCATGATTCTGGGCATGATCAGATTATGATGAGTAAAGGGTGAAACAGATTTACCCAGATCCTTACTGGGAATTGTCTTGTAGGGATAAGCATTGGGTGGTGGAAGTGGAACCACAATGCCCATCACATTGCCTGCAACAGCCTTGACTATGATCCTGCTCTGCAGTACCTCCCTTTCTTTGTGGTATCTTCCAAGCTCACTCCCTTCATATTTCTATGAAAGAAACTGAACTTTGACACATTTGCTAGATTCTTGGTTAGCTATCAGCAATGGACATTTTATCTTGTCATGTGTTTTGCTATGATTAATCTCTATGTACAATCATTTGCATTGTTGCTTTTCAGGGCGATTCTTGCTTCTGTAAGATTGACTGGGAAATAGGATTCCATTGATTCAATCAGGGATTTATAGTGTATGAATTGGCCGTTAAATGAAGAAGTGCAACCAGGAGAGGAATCACCATTGCCCGGGGTTCTCCGTCTGCAAAAACAACAATTCCTGATAGGATTGCTGAATACGATAACAGTTCCTTGGCTATTTTCAAGAACTCCATGGCTTGACTTCTTGGTTGCTTTTTAGCCATGTGTGGCAGTCTGAACATACAGTCGAAGGCTAACCATTGTTTTCCAGTGCCTCGTTTCGTTTCAGTGACTAATTCCTCAATGCCAAGATGAGCCCAGGTAGTGGCTGGGTGGTAGGCCACGAAGGAATTAGTCACATCTTGGCCTACAAGAGTTATGAGAGGGAGCTGACCACCAGAGGGAATTGATAATTTTAACCCTAATTGAAAGGGATAATTTTTTTTTTCTGGTCACAAATTGACGGAGAATGCGCCAGAAGGACCAATTCTGTTACAAAAATGATAGGCGTGGACCTAGTTTGCAAATTTTGAAAGTCGTGGAGTAATCCTGATAGTGCCACCATAGTCGTGAGACCAAAAGTGTTAAAAAAAAACTCTTATTAAAAATTGTCAATATAGCGCAATAGAACATCGTGACACACTTGACGCATTGAAAATATGTCAAGACTACAACAATGCTACAATCAATTTGGCAAATCCAGAAAACAAAGAAATTTCGAAATAGCCACCATTGTTGCATTCTTTGATCATGTATGTAAATTAAATACTTATTGTGCATTCATTAAATATATTAAAACTAATATAAATTTACAATTCATTTCATCTTCTAAACTTAACCTGCTTAGATTAAAGGCAAAATCAACATTAACCTTGAGAACAAAAAACATTTGGTATATAAGATGTAGTCACTATTTTAAAAAGTTTATGCGCAAAGTGACAAACAATTTAACTCCAAGATTAGTTTAAATCAAATAAAAAAAAATTTAAAAAAAAAAAAACACACACACAAAATCAAGTATTACACTCATTCATACTAATTCTAAAAATATGAAGTTGAAAAATGAATAGGTGCAAAATGGATGTGGAAATTGTTGATAAAACTAGACATGTTGTGATATCAATATTCAGACTACTTACATAGTTATTGTTATTACTATCAAGTAAACAAGTTATGAAAATAGAACAAAAGGTACTACACATGAATATTCTACAAATATAATAAATATAAATATTTTATTTAAATACTTTCACATGAAGCATGTACGGGAAAAACTACCTGCAAAATATCAACATGAGCTTGCAAGATCAAGAGTTCATAGTACAACTAAGATCCCAGTCATATACACAACGAGCCAATCCACAACTTCCTACATCATAATCTCATTACATGACGCTATCATCTATGCTACCCAAAAGAGAATTAAGAAAACTTAGAGAAATTCAAATAAAAATAATGTGTATTTAAACTATCATTTTTAGACTAAGTATTTAGACTATCGATTTTACAAAGTTGCAAACATTTATTTTAATGACAATTATAATTTATCGCCTGGCTTATATTATCTCATATACTTTGAAATTCAATACATTGACTTCTCCTATATAATTTTACATTGATATACTTTGAAATACTTATTTAAATATAAACATTGAGCATTAAAAAAATAGACCGGAACATAACAGTGGTCCAAGTCTAAATTTTATTCTACTAATCCAATAATACATAATCATTCCCGACAGCAAAATGGGCAAATTATTCTATGAACCCAGGTCCACCTTGTAAGATGGACTCAGGTCTAAAAATACACAACTTACATACTAAATGTTCATAATTTTAATTATATGCTAAATGTTCATAATTTACATCCTGAATGTTCATAATTCGAATTGTAACATTCAATATATAAATTGTATATTTTGACCTAGGTCCACCTTGCAAAATGGACCCGAGTCCATGGCAGAACTGTCCAGCAAAAACGGCTGGTTACTTGAAGCACACAAGACAATTGGCAATCATTGGTATCAAAATTAAATGAAGTTCAGGTGATTGCTGTCATCATGTATAGAAAAACGAAAAAAAAATGTGTATGTATGTTCTGATAATTGAAAAAAAAAAAAAAAAAACTTGTGTGTAAGCTAGATCTAAAGTAAAACTAAATAATTAGAGGGGTTCAAGCAAAAACGAGATTAATTGTTTTAAGATGTAAAAGATGGTACGTACAGTACAGCAGAGCATCAGGAAATAGCTCTCTCTCTCATCCATTTTGTGGCAGACCACTTCTCTCCTGACAGAACCTGACATCCTCCGTGTAGGCTATTTGGATCTGATTCTCCATTGAGCCCCTGAGAAGAAACAACGAACACAAGTGAGTTTACATCAACCGCAAAACTAGTAAACAGCCATGGAACTAACATTTTTAAATCAATTATGCTGGAATTTGTAACCAGAAAGTTTAACAAAACAATTAGAAATATATATTGGCCTTCTGCTTTTACGGTGGGTTTTACTTTTGGTTTGCCAGATGCCCATTTAAACAGCTATCCTAAGTTTTACACACAAATACTCCCTCCCCTCTTTTTACCTTGAGAGGGGCACAATTATACTTATCAAAAAATAATCTTTGATAGATGTTATGTGAGTAACATGTTACAACTGAGATAAAGGAAAAACATAGAAATGGGTACAAGCTAAAGCAGGTAAAAGCCCACTAACCATGCTCCAGAACAGCACAGCATTTCCTTTAGTTGGTTTTACACACAACCCTTTAACCGCTCTCCCACCACAGCTACAATCATTGCCAACAGCCTGCAGATGGCATTAAAGTAATTAAGAAAGAATACAAGTATTATAAAAATATGGAGACAACATTAAGAAAGACAAAGGAATGAGACATTACAATTAGTTAGTCCATAATAATAAGCAGAATATAAAATGGGTATCTGGATATAATCACAAGTAATATTATTGTTCAATATAAACATCCTGATAACAAAGTGGGAAAATTCATTGGCAATAGTGATCCTGAGATCACATGCAGTTCATATGATCTCATTGAGATTTTGGAAACAGTGAAAAAAGGATCCATAGAATATAGAAATTGCCAAAAAGAATTAAAGAAGTGACAAAAATTAGTCAGAAGTCTGATGGATCTACCATTGGAAAGTATGTTTCTCCACCTTCAACATTGTCACTTAAATACATAAGCATTGTTGCTATTCTTTGACCTCCCGCCTTTATGTTAAACTGCAAAAGTATTGAACCTCCTTTACCACAAAGTAATTCTCCATAGATGGTTGAGTTGATATCAAATGAGATATGATGGGAGGCAATAAATGCACAAGGTAGATGGAAAACATACTTCATCAGCAAAGTAGTCATGATGTGGTCTGTAGAGCTCACTCTTCTGATACCTGTGCTTCTGCAGATGTTAGCTTTGATACTAAGAACATATCAGTTTTCCATAAATATATGAAAGATACAACCAAATAATGATCACAATGCAAACCTTAAAACTTGAAGGAGCTCCCCATTTTCAACTGGTACTTGAGAATAGACAGATATTCGTTTTTCGATTGCCTGATATTGCAGGAAGCATACAGGAAGCCACTAAATGAATCACTAGTAAACTTGATTCAAATGAATAATACGGAGTATATGGGAAACCATAAATCACAATATCACTAACTTATTGCAGACCAACCTGTATTATAGGGTATGACCTGTCCTTAGGAGTCAAAAAGGTACCAGAACTTGTTCTGACATCACTCGTGACTCCCTGGAATAGTAGAGAAATACTGTCAGTTAAATATGCATTTAGAACAAATAAACAGAAGTATGAAACCCATAAACTGCATTTCATAAAAATGCAGATATGCAAGTTACCAGTAAAAATGTTCTAAGTCATCTATAAAAAAAAAAAAAAAAAAAAAAAATGAAAGTTTTAATTACTTCTAATGAAAATTTTGAATACTATTCCAGAATGAATTTGCCATCTCACTAATGAACAAACCAAACAAAATGTTCAACCAACCTTACTCGACTAAATGTCTAAATTCTAAATCAAAAATAAATAAAATACATTAACACTCCCAATATTGAGTTCCAATAGAAACAACTAAAAGGTTATGACAATGAAACTTCATATGCCAAAAGGAAGCTTCACAAGAACCAGAAATTGGCAAAAAGAATAATTAAATTAATCTTTTGTACTCTTTCACAGGTATCAATTCAACAAATTTAACATCAATATCAATCAATTAATTCAGTTAATATGCCAACATCATGTAAGAGCTTTAACTTGAATTTCAGATATCAATGTTAAATTTAGGATAAAATAGTATGTTATAACAGAAAAATAAATAAATAAATAAAAGCATTACATCAGATACAAACCTTTCCAGTTTTTGCATCCACCACTGTGGAAACCTTAAGGCGGGGCTTGGCAATACCTCTAAGATAGTCACATTCCTGTAAAGGAAATGCTATGTTACACTTACAATATAAAGTAGGAATATGATTTCCACTCTTTCCAGAAATGGACAAAAAAAAAAGTAATGCAAATAGACTACCTAGATTCCACAAGAATTTCACATCTTATCTAACAAAATCTCCATTGTAAACTGACAAATACATTTTATAGAAAAATACACATCTATCTTCCTGTCTCTATGGCCTCACAGTTCAAAATTCAAATGCATTTAAGTTGACCCTCAGAGATTGACATAGAGGACAGACAAAATGGGATATAGAGTGATTTACTACCTGCAAGAAGCTTTTTAGTTCTGTTGCTATATTCTATGTATTTCCAAATGTCCTAAAATCACTTACACCCATGGTGCAATTCAGAGTATGAGGTGATTAGTATGTATTATCTAAATTGACACAATATAGTGCATATCAGGCATGTGCTCCAATTCATGCCTATGTCAAACATGTATCTGCACCAATCTATAAGCCATTGTGCCTTTGTACTGTTGCCCTTCAGAAGTTTCTTTTATTTTCTTTTTTGACTGATCCTTCAAACTTATATTGTTGGCTATATTGCTTGTCTTGAAGTTTGATGAAAATTGAAATAACTTTGAAGAGAAGAGCACAGAACACTTTGAGTGCTGAGGGATTTTGAGTTAGTACTTGACCACATAATGATCATCAACTGTGATCTTTTGTAACAGTTTATTAAGGAGTTAATAGCTAATGGCTGCTGCTGAATAATGTTTACACAGGTAAAGAAAACACATGCCAATTACAGAAGACTTCAATACCTCACCAAATTTGGAAAATGGAAAAGCATACAAACCCTAGTCTTGGTTCTAGTACAACTACCAATGGATAATGTATACACAAGTTACTTTTCATGGGATTTTGATTACACAGTTATCCATAATAATCATACTGCTAACATCAATTACTATTAGACTGAACATAGTAAGGACACTTGTAAATACTGAGTCAAGAAGTACCCAAGTTTGTTGACTCTATAAAATTCCTCTACTAAATTAATCTATATGCACACACCCAACAAAAGTCAACAGATGGTTTAAGTGTTCAACAAATAGCATGAGTTCATTAAGCTGCAACATGTCAACAAAAGCAACAATGGGGATTCAGTGCTATAAGAAAATATACTTTAACATATGAAATTGCATACCTCTGTACTTAAAAAGTTGTGGAACAAGATTATTCTTGGCGACCAGCTTACTACTTCAGGTTTTACCTACAATGGTAGAGCACTAAATTGAAATGGTCAAGTCTTCATACAGAAAACTGGTTTTAAAAATAGCAATCCTGGTGCTGTCAAATAATCTTCTTAAGACCCTTCACATGTGTGTGCTACTTAGTATTTCTTCTTAAGTGCCAACTGTTATCAACCCAAGAGACTAGTGGCACGCTGAAAATAATTTGAAAGGATCAAGTCTTTGTACATAAAAGTGCTAAGAAAAATAGAGACTTTGAGAATTTGCCAACTATCAGTGCTATCAAGTATCAAATAATCTTCTAAAACCCTTCACATGTAGTGTGCTACTTAGTATTTCTTATTCAGCGCCAACTGTTATTAAGCCAAGAGATCAGTGATACACTGTAAATAAATAAGCCAGGGAGAATGTTTTTGGCATACATATCCAAGACGTAGTATTACAGCTTCTTTGTCATAAGTCAAATGTGAAATTCCTGAAAGGAAAGGGAGGGAAAAGGTGAAAAGTAAATCAAGTGGATCTAAAATCCCAATGATCAACAAAATCCTCTATTCCTTAACTCTGTATTCAGAAAAAATAAAAATAAATAAACTAAAACTAAAAAGTACAGCAAATTTTTCCAAAAACATCTCATTAGTAATTACAACTAATGATATAAAAGTCATTACTGCAATTACAAGTGCTGAAAGCAAAACTCTAATACAACAAGAGCTTTTAGCTCATACGCAAACAAGTAATACAAACCTTTTGCCAAAGGAATTACACCATGTTGAATTCCACGTAATCCCCTTAAAGTGGGCTCTGTCCCTGCATGATAGTATTCTTCATAATTTTACTTGGCAAAACCAAGGAATATACACAAAATTGCAATGATATGTAGAAAATAAAGGAAGGAAAGATGTCAGAAGGATGTACAAATATCCAAAACAATCTCAGTAGATAGGGAAATTAAAGCTACTCATGTCTCCATGAGAAGCAAAAATGCCAACAAAAAGAAGAAAAGGAGCAAAACAAGTATTCCAGGTCCCTCAGGAAAAACCAAAGTGGAAAGTGTAAGGCTTATTTGAATAGGTAAATTCTGTCGATCACTTCTGAGTTAGCCTCTAGTTGCAATCTACCTCTAGATAACCAAAAGAACAGTTGTGGAAGCTAAACTAAAAGGTCCTACCATGCTATGCTTATTCCAAAGAGAAAAGCAAAGACAAGGAAGACAGAGCAGTCAAGCAGTGAATTGTCCCTAAATGATCAAACTCAAAGTATTTCAAAAAATTAGGACTCAATGACACAATGGAGTTGAAAGATTTCAAATGATTCCAATGACATTTTTCTTTTATGGTTAAGAAATCAAGCCTATTCTGAAGCTAAGTTCTACATGAAAATGTTGGAACCTAAAATGAAGGACCCAGTAAGTCATGCGAACAAAGGAGAAATTAACAGTAGGGAAGCACTAATTCTCCAATATACAAACAATTCACAAACTCTACCATATGTATCTTCCAATTTCCGGATAAATGCCAATTGCACCAGAGCTCCTGCATTACATGAAAAAAATAGTTGACAACCCTTCAGCAAAAAACTACAAATGACATAAGTATACATCACCAACATGTGTCATTTTGGGGGGTTTAAGGAGTAGCTTGGTGGTAAGTGACACCCCTTTTCAAGTAATAAACCTGGGTTGAATCAGGTAAACCCCATACCCATCTATGTAAAAAATTAAAAATTTAAAACAAAAAAATAAAAATAAACAATAAACAAATAAAAAATAAAAAAATAACAAAAATCAAAACTGTACATCAACATGCCAACAGATTAAAGAAAACCTGAGAGATCCTGTTGAGAGAGCTATCAATTTACACATTGATAAGGAAAAAAAAAAAAAAAAATCCATCTATATTTATGCAGTTCTTCTTTAATTATTTCTGATGTATGTTTTTCCCCTCTATCTTTGGATCTTAGCTGCACTTATAATAATTTCAGGCACTAAAAATTGTAATTAAATAAGTCAAAACCCCATAACTTTTACCATGATCCAAGAAAAGCACAACTTAACAGTTTATAGGGCACCAGTACCACCGTTAATCAATAAAAAACGCATGCATAACTACACTATTTGAATCATATTGACACCAAAACTCATTAACAGAAAAAGAAAAATAATTTGCATAAATTCCATTTCTGTATTTCAGAATAGGATTTAAGCTGCACTGAAAGGAAATTTCTAAACAAAAATTAAAAATTAAGGAGAAAAAAACAAAAGAGGATAAAGTTCAAATGGAGCAAAGCAAAAGGCCAGAGGAAACGAGGTCAAGGAAATCCCATGAAATTCGCAGATTATGATTTATGATCACTAATGCCCTTGCGTGTGTATATGAGCATATAAATCACGTATCTATATGTGATCTGCATGTGTGTATAAAGCGAAAAAAACTCATATGTATATAGAATTTCGTTACCGATAATCATTCCGAGAGTGACAAATGTCAGGAGCCCCAAAACGATTCTCATCGCCGTCGCCATTCCTCCGGCAAGCAGAGAGAAAAGGGCCGAATGAGAAGGAGGAGAAAGGAATCTGTAACGGATCGCAGAAGTGGCGGACGAAAGTAAAAAAGTACCGTATTCGCTTGGGGATTATGTCTTTTTACGAATTAATGATACTTTCATCCCTCGATTATATCATAATTATCAAATTGAAACTTTAATTATTAATTTTGATCAATTAAATTATTAACTATTAATTTTATAATCAATTTAGTCCTTTGTAATTATTAAATTAGTCTTCAATCAATTTGACAGGATCAAATAAGTTATAAAATGAATAAATACTCAAAATGATCCTTCGACTATAGTTAAATTCAAAAATTGGTCCTCGATTTTCAATTTCAACCAATTAAGTCCTTAACTTTGTAATTTTGACACGATTTGATCCTCCATCTATTTGACCGTTTGTTGACCGTGATCGACGATCTCCAGAAGAACCTTCAGCTCTCGTGGGAGCACGTGGAGTCCTCCAGGATGACGTTGCACTGGTTCGGAAACACGCCGTCTTCTTCGCTTTGGTACGAACTCAACTACATTGAATCCAAAGGGAGGACGAAGAAAGACGACCGGATTTGGTAGATTGCTTTCGACAGTGGATTCAGATCTAACAGTGCGGTCTGGAAATGCAACTAGAACCTTAAAAAATCGACGATGGACCATGAAATTACATATATATCCTCAGAAATCACAGTCAACAAACGGTCAAATAGACAGAGGACCAAATTGTGTTAAAATTACAAAGTTAAGGACTTAATTGGTTGAAATTAAAAGTCGATGACCAATTTGTGAATAGCTATAGTCGAGGGACCATTTTGGATATTTACTCTTATAAAATCAATAGTTAAAGATTTAATTGATCAAAATTAATAGTTGATGATCAATTTAATAATGACGACATAGTTGAGGATCAAAACGGTTACATATTCGGATGCTTTGGCAAATGGTATCTTATGCAATAGTACTTGTACACTATTATTGATTTGTGTTATCAAATCTCTACTATTCTTTAACGCCCCTAGATTGCGCAAAGAAATCGGTTACATATTCGGATGCTTTGGCAAATGGTATCTTATGCAATAGTACTTGTACACTATTATTGATTTGTGTTATCAAATCTCTATTATTCTTTAACGCCCCTAGATTGCGCAAAGCATATTTCTTTCATGTGGACTGCGGTCTTGAGCTTTTACACTACGCTAATCTCGCAATTTGTCTATTTATAGTATTTACTTACGGGTATTTAATAAAGTGAATATATTGTTATAAATACTAATATTTTTGCCCATACGATATACGGAATAGATTTGTTATAATATATTAAAAATATTTGGATTGATATATAATTATTTAAATTAGAACACCAAATATTATATAATGCAATTAAAGATATGGTTTGGATTATTTATATGTTTTGATGTTATCATTGTTTGAATTTGAGCAAATAATTGCTCAAATTAATATGTGTAGATGTACGCATGCAGTGTTGTAACTTTGGAGATTTTATTTATCATGGTATAGTATTTTTAATTTTTAGTGAATTATTAATATTCATTTCTTTTCCCAATTTACCTAATTTCCATTTCATTTTTAATTGATGATGTAGAATATTATTGTGAAATATTTATGTTCATTTTTTCATTCTTTTTTAATTTTCCTTTACTATTTATTATTGTTTGGTTAGAAAATCAAGTAAATAGGATTTTGTTTTTAATTATAATATAGATTTGACCGTGAGGTTGTAGCATATATATATATATATATATATATATATATATATATATATATATATATATATATATATATATATATATATATGAATTGGTTATATTATAAATTGTTTAAATTGGTTATATAGGGTATTATGTTAGTATGTGAGAGCGCTGAATATGGAAACAATATTACCAAGATTTTAGTTAATTTCTATTTTAAATTTGCTTACAAAATAAATTGTATTAAATTAGTTGGTGATAAACATCCAAAAATTTTATACGGTAATACGATACATAATATTACCAATTATGCTATTATGTTATTACCTAATTAATTAATGTCTTTTCTACACTGTATTATAAATACGTAAAATAAAATACGGAAAATTTGCAAACAATAATGTTACCAAAAATATTATTATATTATAGAATATAACTAATATGTCTTTTCTATATTGTATTATGTTATTACGTTAATACGTAAATATGGAAACAATATTACCAAGATTTTAGTTAATATCCATTTTATATTTGCTTACAAAATAAGCTTTATTAAATTAGTTGGTAAAAAATACAGCTACGCATGAAAGATGAATTCAATCTAAAAATGGCAGTTTATAGTTATGTATGTGCACATGCACACATAAGGATGATGAGTTTTGTTCATATGAAGATAAGATAGTACTAATGTAGGTTGCTTATTTATAATATATCTGGAAGTAAAATTTGAGCTCTAAGATCATATAAAGCACTCTTTGATCCTAAATCAATAAATAATTAGTTATATACACATTTAGCAGTACCAATGTTATTACTAATACTTTATATATATTTGCAGTATTGAACCATTAATGTGAGATAAGAAAGAAATAACCAGTTAAATGATGCCTTTATTTGGATGCTCACTTTGCAAACATGTACAACTTTGGCTTTATTAGTTACTTTAGATTATACTTTGCTTATCCTTTGAATTTTAATGTATTATTTTAAGCCAATTTATTTATTATTAAAAAAATACATTTTAAAGTGTGACAATTTATACTAATAAATCATTTTAAAAGGTGGCAAAAGATGATTAGAAAATTTGATGCCACTGCATCAATTTAAAAAAGAAAAAAAAAATTTATTGCTACTATTTACTTCAATCATCCCATAAATATCAATAATGTTTCTTAAAGGGGTCTAATCAACACATAAACTGAAAACAAAAAAAAAAATGACAATCATAAAAAAAATATGTACAAAAATAAATGATAAAAACATTATGATAATGATTAAGACATAATAAATTTACGTTTCCAAAAAATCACAAAACTCTGAAAATCCTTATTGAAAATGAGTGTGTATCAAGAGTTACATATCTTGACATAACCAGCTAATAAAAAAGAATATTCATTACTTGTCCTTATTCAAACACTTTCAAATATAAAGAAAAATTAAAACACTTTTGTTTAGATTAACTCTTCGTATCTGATGGATTATATGAACCCGGGGGTCTGGATTATACAACCCGAGTATATGTTGAATATGATGAACGAATAATAAAACGGTAAATATTATATTAATTGGACACAAAATGCTATTACAGAGGTACGGAACGTGTAATAACAGTACAAATGTTGTCAGAAAGTATCAGATATCTAATTAGGACACCGGGGGTGTTTATATACCCCCCGGCTGCTACGGGCCCTGGGCCTGCGGGAGGAGCTGTGGCCCGCGCCGCGGGACTCGATCCACGCGAGGACCCAGCCCTTGGCCGAGCACGGAGCTCGGCTAAGGGGCTGAGCGTGGGCTCGGCCGAGCCCATGGGGCTCGACCGAGCCCGGGGAGGTCGGCCCACGCCGACCCCCATTGGGCCGACCCGGGGTGGTTGGCCGACCCCGGGGTGATCCGTCCTGTACCGCGGGTGGGCGCGGGGTCCGACCTGTATTATCCTGCTCTCCTCCGGCTCCGTGATTATTCCATCATCAGTCCCTCACTCTCGGGGCTGCGAGGAGTCGTCAGCACGAGAGAGTAAAATGAACTTAATAATTACGGGCCCCTGAATCATGTTCCCCAAAAAATTCAACCTTCCTTCCTGTTTCTTGGCGCGATAGGACTCCTAACCGAACTGGAATTCAAGACTGTATTCATTCTTATCAGTTTTAAGAGTCCTCATCCTACTACAACCCTTCCACTTCCCCTTTAAATACCCCTTCCATCTTCCCAAACTTCTTCACATTCCCAACACCACACATTTCCCTCTCCCCAAAATTTCCCCCCTTTTTCCTAAAAAAATGTCCTCTTTTTTTCCCCCCTTTTTTCCCCCTCCCTCCCCTATATAAAGTAGCTTTCCCTTCACTCCCCTCACACACACAAAAAGCTCCCAAAAATTCTCTCCCCTCTCTCCCCTATATTTTCTGGCCGAACACCCCCCTGCCGCCGACCGCCGACGGACGCCGCCGCCGACCAGCCGACCCCAACCCCAGCCGAGGCCGACCCGCCCCCTGCCGACCCCGAGCTACCACCGGCTGACCCCTGCCCCACTGAGGCCGACCCGTGCTCCGCCGTGTCCTCCTTCCGTGCCCACTTTGTTCATCCCCTCCTTGCTTGAGTCAGGTGAGTCTCGTGCAAACCCTCTTTTAGAGTTCCATAGCTAGCTTTTTATGAGTATAGTGCCTCTTGCCGAGGACACGCATCCGGTAGACCTACCCTTGATTATTAGTTATTGGTCCGTCCTAGACTCCATTGACTACGCGGACCTCCCGCCTAGTGATGACGAGTCCATTGACTTAGACCGGTTTCCTTCCCCCTACATTGAGCACTATTACATTGAGTACCCCTACATAGATCCGTTAGCCACGCATCCTCCCTTCATGTTGACTCCTACACCACTTCCGGATCCCTTCCCCTTGAATCAGTACACTGTACTTGACTCCGCCATCCCTCGGGGATTCGGGTCCTCTTTGAGTTCTCACGATATCGCCATGGCGAAGGCCTTGGTCGGCCCGTCGGCAGTGGTTCACGTCCCGCCTCCCGGGACGAGTATACTAGAGCCTCCAGGACCCAATTTTTTTGGGGTCCATGTTACATCCCTCCTCATGGGTTTAGCTTTCCCGCTTCACCCCTTCATCATTGAGCTCCTGAACTTTCATCGTATATCTGTGGGTCAGCTAGTCCCTAACTCCCATCGGGCGGTGGCGGCCTTTATTGTTCGATGTGTCGAGGTGGATATCCGCCCTAACCTGGACCTTTCACTCTTTTTTCACCGCGACCAATTCCTCGTCTAAGGAGAGCAAGGGCTACATGGCGTTTTCGGCTCGGCCGGGGACGAGGATTATGGGACACGTACGGGATTTCAACAAGGGTTGGAAACCCCGGTTCATGTTTGTCTCTACG